TGGGCGAGTTCAAGATGGCAAAGCGGCTAGGCATGCTTACCGAGCGATTGAATATGATTGGTTGGATCTATAAGTAACAACCAATTATGATCATTTGCTTGGCGAGCAGGCTAGCCGCTTTGTCAACTTGAACGCGCCCAATAGCTGCGTTCAGCAGACTCAACAGTTTTGCAACCGTTTTATGATTGTCTGCTGAGATAGGACCATTCTTCTAGATCTAAAAATATGATCCAATTAGCGCGAAGGAAACTTCCAACAGTTGCAAAACAAACGTTCTGCTGAACGCACCCAATGTATCCCAAGGGAAAACGCTATTAGTTTTTTTCGGTTCCTGTTAGTTTTTTTACTGACCATGACCGCTGCGCCTGCGCAGCTGCATCAATGCTCGCCAGTGTTTACATTTCAAAGTGATTCGCAGATTCCAGGATCAATGTTTACGTTACACGGATAGATTACAAGTTGTAACATCGATGTAGGAAATTTGCAAATTACAGTCATTCCATTCTTCAGAGGAACAGCTATGATTGGCCAGTTTCATAACATCGATGTTATAATTTCGGCGTAAATCATTTTGTATAATCGTGTCAATTCCGTCTTTTCTGTGATCGTGCCTAAGTATGTCGTCTCGTGGGGAGAATATCCTCAAAGGTTTCCAGATGTATCCTTTAAAATTTAATTTAAGCGCAACTGTTACGCAATCACGTGGCAGTTTTTAGGTTAGAACGAAACATCAAATCCGAACATTTCTGACGATGTTTTTTGTAACTGAGTTCCTTTTCATTTTTTTTTCTTTTTTCTCTTTTATGACTATTTGTATGCTTATTTCATTTCAAAATAGTAAAATTTAAAATATTAGGCACCAAGATCTGTCTTGATTAAACAAGGCTTTCGCTTTATTTGTGTTGATCATTTTTCGGTCGATTTTCATTTAATATTACTTATTTTATTTAAAACGTTAATATTATAACAGTGCAGCTATAAAAAAAAAAGATCTTTTTAGAACGTCGATTTGACGACAAAGTGAATTTATATGAACGAATGTGTCTCCTTAATTATGATTCCGTCAGTAATTGGATGGAACTATGCGACGCCGACAGTGAGGAAATTCTCTGGGAGAGTAACAAAGACTTGTGAGTAAGGCTGATTTTCTAGATACATCATTGAAGGATGACAGATTGAAATCCTTGGTTCTTTGCTTGATTGTAGGTCTTCATCTGATGTAGAACATGAAGCACGTGTACCGAAAAAGATCCTGCAATGTCGCAAGGTACAAAGGAAGATAAACTTCAGCTCTATAGAAAAAATGGAGAGGTTTCGCCTAGAACAGAAGGTACTGTTCAAAGAGCGTTGCCTGGAAGAATTGTTCTTTGAGTTTGGACCTGTTGGACCCGACACCTCTATCACATGGAAGAGCTTGATCTTGGCATTACCAGAGAGTCCAATGATGTCAGCGAATATACTAAAGTAAGTAAAGATTCATCCTTGGTGTTTTATCGCTTATCTATTGATTAATTGTGTATGTTTTCCTTTACGAATAGCGGCAACGTCATAATAGAAACAAAATTCTTTGACGACGATCTCTTAGTGTCTACCAGTCGAGTCCGTTTGTTCTGCGTCTAACAATAAGGTGATTTCCTAACGGTCCTAATTGTACATAACTTAGGATCAATCAACGTGAACAGAGACCCTATACAAAAATAGAACACGTGAAAGTCTTACAAACTGAACGTTTTTTATCCTTTGATATTAGACACTTACTATGTATACATTAACAAAATGATATTGATAAATATCATAAATTAATTAATAAACATAATTTTACATGCATCAGGCCCTATTTGAAAAATGTCACTGATAAAACTATAATTTTGTATCAATTGCGTAAATCTTTCTCTAAGAATATAAATTTACATTCTTAGAGAGAGATTTACGCAATTGATACAAAATTATAAATGCGTCTAAAATATAGTAAACTGCAACAACGTAATAGAAATCATAAATCATAATAACATCATAATTCTTCGACAATGATTTCTTAGTATCTACTACTCAAGTCTGTATCTCTTATATTTAACAATAACGACTTCCAGAACAGAGACTTTTTAGTTGTTTTTCATTCTTGAATAAACGTAAAAACGTGACTTATAATTAATTCATTCATTCTACAGCTCAACATCCCAAGAAGGGACGAGGCCTACGTCTTGATTTTGTACTATTTTTGATATGAGATCATTAACTTAATATCCACACCTAGGAGCGTGTTCGGATTCCCACGCGGGTGCTCCCCGAGTGTCATGCCATTCTTGTTTAACATTTAACAACAAGGATAAATAACAAGGATGGAGTGATATCTGGGTGACATGGGTGGGAATCAGAAACTCAGCATAGGAGAACTCTCTTGAAGGATCCATACATATATCCTTGTCTTTGATATATGAGACCTACAGTTTAACGCCGGATCTGAACGGCGTGATTAAAAGTGTCTT